ATAGGATATGAGAAAGAGAAAAGGAGAGTTCATAGCAAGTGGCCTAAATTTTTCTGTAAAATATGTGGCAAGGTTCTCATCTGAGAGAGTTGGGAAAGGAGAAGCCATGGGAGGTTTGAAGAGGTTTGAAAAGATTTGAAGAGTGGGATAGTGGGTTGGTAAGGGAAGAATTGCCTAGCAGCAGTGAGAGCCCAAGTGAAGTTGTAACATAGATAGCATGACCCTGTCAGAATGATTGTGTGATCTTCTCCACCTTCATTCAGCAGCACATGGGTAAGAGGAATGAAGGCTTGTTACTAGTGGTCAGACCTCAGGGCTGTCTCAACTTCCCATGTTAGGGAATTCACATTTTATCACCTTTATTCCCTGTCCCAAGTAACTTCTGAGGCAAAAAGATTAGTCTAATCTGGATGCCACTCCTTTTTCCTTTGGGCCTGTTATACCATATGTGCACTGGCACTCTGTCCCAGTTTCCTCCTCTGTTCTTTAGTTCTCTGGGTAAGCATTGCTACCTCAGGCTGAGTATACTTCCTAATTCTCATCCCTCCCTTTCTATTGCAAATGGGTTAGAAGAGTTGAAGTCTACTGCTTATTATCACAATTCAGTTGGTTAGAGCAGGTGCAGAGTGTGCTGGCAGAGACTTCAGTAACACAGCTCAAGCAGAAGGGTCAGGTTGCATGATCTGATAGAGGATGAGGATTGGTCAGGAGCATGGTCTTTTGCATAGTTGTTTAGAAGAGAAACTATGAATGATCGAATGAAAAATCATTTATTTAGTGATTCTGGTGTGGCAAGCACTGTGCTAATCACTGAGCATACAAATAAATATCAAATAGCCCTTTCCCTCAAGGAGCTTACATTCTAAGGAGGAAACAATACCATTAGTAGAATGGTGTGTGAGGTTCATGGGCAGTGATACAGGGGAGTAGATTGAGACACCTTCCCCAAGAAGCAATCACAGAGTTCACCTAGTTAGATTCAAGAAATTGAAATGGGGATGGGATATGGCATGCTGGCTGGTGTGGAGATGTTGGTAGTGTGGTCAAGCATGGCTGCAATCAGGGTGAATTATTGAGGTAACTACCAGTCAGCATGGTTGAAGAGGACCTACAGCATGAGTTCTAAACATGAAAAGGCTAAGTTCTCCAGGGCTTGGTGTCTAGATTGGACAATATAGTGGCTAGTATGGCAAGGTACTATTATTGAGGCCAGGCTTGATTAGAATCTTCAAGAGTTCTATTGTATGACTAAGACAGCCACCAATCAGCATATAGGACCCCAGGCAAATTGTCTTTGCTATCCAGCAGAAATTTTCTGTTCCTTCCAGATTTGATGACTCAATTTATCCAAGCACCGAGTCCCTAATCAGAGAGCCTGATTTGGGTTATGGCCTATACGTTGATTTCCTTTATATTTATGGATTGTATTAATGACTCTGATCACTATTCATGTGTGCAAATGTGGCTACAAAGGCCCCTCTGATTTTGTATCTCTTTGGGCTCCCCTTGGCCAGTTATCACATTCTCATTATTATGTTCATCTGTGCATCTGTCTCATGGACCTTTTCCCCTGTCACTCAAGGACAGAGACTGTCTTATGCTTGATAATTTATGTTTGTTGAATGAAGTCATAATTTGTAGAAATTACTGCTGTTTATGACTGTGCCAATTCTTTTTTTAGTCTGCCAGATACTTTTGCTTGAAAAAAAAAATCCTTTCTCTAGCTCTCTTCCTCCCCCCGCCCAACTCCAAGACACCTTAGATAATAGTCACAATGGTATGGAAGAGTGATGGGATGGGCATGGCTTAAGGAAAATTGGATAGAATAATTGGAAATAATGTAAGTTAAGGAGATTGATGAGAGCACGTATATGCCAAAGTAGTTACAAACTCATTTATATACATGTTCTTCTCCATGCAGTCCAGGTATTGACATCTGGGACTTGGGTGATTGATCTAGTTGATAGACATATTAAGGCCCCTGAAGTCCTATTATGGATTTGCTTTACCTTGTCAAATATTTTCCCCTTCATGCTTATGCTTCTTACCTTTGATCAGATGATGTGTCTTTTTGCTACTTTAAAACAATTTTTTGAGTTAAAAAAGAAAACACAAATCACCACAATCTTCTTATGTCCCACTTATTAATTATGTAACAGACAGGAGTTTTTTTTTTTTTTGACACTAAGAGTTGAATGAGTGTAGGCCAATGATCAGAGCAGAAAAGAACAATATTCACACTCGTGAATTATAATAATAGTAACTAGCATTTTTATGGTTCTTTAAGGTTTGCAAAGCACTTTATAAATATTTTGTTCTCATAGGCACAAGGTAGGTGTTATTTTTTCCCATTTTCCAGATGAGGAAAATGAGACAAGCAGAGTTTAAGTGACTTGATCAGGGTGATGTGGCTGGTAAATATCTGAGGTCAAATTTGAACTGAGGTCTTCCTGACTTCAGGTCTAGCACTCTGTCCACTGCATATACTAACTTCCTATTTTCATTCTATTTTAACTGTTTCACTTTTGTCTTTGTTTCCTTAGCACTTAGCACAAAGCCTATAACATATTAGCTACTTAATAAATGCATGTTGATTGATTGACTTAAATTCCAAAGGCTAAATGATAGTTTGTTTATGTTAATGACAGGAAAACTAGAGTTCAAATCATTCCTCTGACACATATGCACTGTGTGACCTCAGGCAAGTCATTTAACATCTTACAGATAAGTAACTTGTTTGCTCAGTTGTTTTTCAGTCGTGTCTGACTCTTCGTGACTCCATTTGGGGTTTTCTTGGCAAAGAAACTGGAGTGGTTTGCCCATTTCCTTCTCCCGCTCATTTTACAGATGAGAAACTGAGGCAAACAGGTTTAAGTGACTTGCCCAGGGTCACACAGCCAGTAAGGGTCTAAGACTAGATTTGAATTCAGGAAGACTCTTCTTCCTGACCCTAGTCCTGGCACTCTATCCACTCCACCACCTAGTTGTTCTAATGAAATCACAGGTCTGGAACAAAGATGTGAAAACCTAAGCTAAGACAGAATCAACTGCTTTTGATGAGAGTATGGTACAGGACTTTCCTGCCAGGATGGAAGTTGGGCAGTATTTGACTAATAGGCATTTGAAATAACTTTGTAGAATGTAGAATTGCTATGGACTTGGGGCACAAGGGTTGAAGCTGACTGATTTTAAAAAGTTTGGCTATTTACTCAATCAGGCAAACTGGAGGTTGATACTTGATAGATCCAATTTGAGGTCAGGAAGAGAGAAGGTTAAAAATAGGAGCTGAGATCACATACCAAATCTAGCAAACTGAGTAGGGCTGGAGTCAAGGTTGGATGATAAGACGTGCAGATAGATACATGATCATTGAATGATACAGGGAGAAAGAAGTTGGTTTAAAGTCTGAAGAAACAGCTAAGGTGTCTTCTAGATGGATGAGTTTCTGACTGAGAGGCATTATGGGAAGTGCCACTTTTTAATAAGTGGCTCAAGGATTTGGGGGAAACCTGTCTTTAGAGGAGACAGTCTTCCTTGGTTTTAAAGCACAGGTGGCTATGATTTTATAGAAGGTGGGAAAATATGCTAACACTGAATCAGCATGATTTGCCTTGAATTTTTAGACCTTTACTGTCTTACTGTAAGAAATGAGAATAGGTAAGGAGAAGGGTTGACACAACTGATATCATACTTTATGCCATAACCAGAGCTGTTACATTAGGAAAATGCTGTCTGATTAATGTTAAATGAGGTAATTGTGAGATTCAAACAGTTTTGTGAAATTAAAGAAATTTCATTAATAGATAATCATGCTTTTCCATGAATCTGCATGAATACTGGCCTATTATCAGAATATAATCTGATAGATAAAACAGTTAACTTGAAGTTAACATCAGGTTTAAAGTAGAGACAATTTATTAACTCAATAGTGGTTCTTCGCCGCTATGGAAAAAGCAAGCTGGGCACGGTGGAACATTCCTGTAAGCCCTGCTCCTGGAGAACCTAAGGCAGGTGGAACACTTGAGCCTGGGAGTTCTGAACTACAGTTTGCCAAGCTAATTGGGTGTCTTGCACTAAGGCCAATATCAATATGGTGAGCCTTTGCGAGTGAGGATTCCACAGGCTACCTAAGGCAAGATGAACCAGCTGTGGTCAGAAATGAAACAGCTCAAGTCTCCTCTGCCTGTAGCAGTAGTGGAATTGGGCCTCAAGTGGCTGCTGCTTTTCTCACCTAGGCAAGATAGGGAGACCCAGTCTCAAGGGAAAAGAAAAGAAAAACAAGAAAAAGAATTCAATCTTTCATCTCAAGTAGTGTGTGTATGTATATATATATATATATATATACATATATATGTATGTATTTACATATATATAATTATTTCATTACATTTTTGTTATATTTTTTGAATATATTGCTTTTGTGCTATTCAGCATTTATGGTTTTCCTTTTTATGACCTTCCCAGATAGTTGTTTTAGTCAGTTTGGTTGTCATGCCTCCTCACAGGTATTCTATACTATAAAAGCCCATTGACAAGATTAGCAGCTGTAACATTTTGCAAGTCGAGTGTCATTGAGCAGTGTCTTCATCAAATAATTTTAAATTGTTCTCCACCTGGGCCCTTAGTCCCTTCTGCCCCCTTTTTAAATCATGGAGACAGATTGTTTTTCTAGAATTGCAGACACATTTTCCACTTTCTAGAACTGCTTTGATTATGAGGCTGTCCATGTGTTAGTTCCATTTAAATGTTGAGTTCATTGGAGTTTACTTTCATTTTTTTCTTGTGTGTGTGTGTGTGTGTGTGTGTTTCTCTCCTTTCAGTTGAATGTATAGAGTTGTAGCACCAATTATTCCTTGGCTATATTGCTTTGAAGATTGTTTTTAGCTTAGAGGTCAGTCTAAAGGTGATCTCACTGGAAACAGCATTATAAAAATCTGTGTGGAGAGACTTGTCTGATAATTTTGAAAAAGTCTCTTAAATATCTACTTTTTTTTTTCTAGAAAAGAAAGCAAAGAAGAGCAAAACCACTAGTGATTGGAGAGAGCGAAGGAATGCCATCAGACTCACCAACGAGTATACTGTGGAAACACTGGTTGTGGCTGATGCTGATATGGTCCGATATCATGGTGCTGAAGCTGCACAGAGATTCATCCTCACTGTGATGAACATGGTAACAGCTTAGAGTCCCAGCTTTTCTTCGTTCCAGTGGTTTATGTTGGAAAATCTTCTATTTTCTTGTCATCATTGTATTGCCAAGCTAAAGGAAGGAGCAGAGGATGCAGTGTATTCTGAAAGATCCCCACTCTTTTTAGTCAGGGTTTCTAAGAGGGACAGTCCATGGTTCTTAATGCTGGAGGCCTTTAGAAGTACCAGTACCAATCTTTGTTGTATCTGTTGGTGAGCCCAGGTGCAGTTTAACAAAGAGATGAGTTAGAAGTGACATTTTAGATTTGGAAGAATCTAGTCCCCTCGTTTTATATAAGAGGAAATTGACGCCAAGTAGTCTTTCTGTCTAAAGAGAGCCTCTCTTGGTGCAGCGTGTTCTTTTCGAAGAAATCTCAGTTGTTGAGGACCTTGGTTCAGCCTATACAGGGCTGCCCGCTTGATTTCTATAACTTCTCACCAGATCATTGAATACATATCAGTCTATTTCTTTTGTCACTTAACTTTGGATCTAGGCTCATTTTTTGACTTGAGGTCATACTGCCGATAAATGATAGAGCTGAAGTTAGATAGCAGATCTCTTGACATATGAACCTCACCTCTTTCACTATTCTACAAAAGTAAACATTATGGTTTGAATGCCTGAAGTGAGTTTGTTATTTATAAAATAGGTTTTGTTTGTTTAATTAATTTAGCACTAATAACTAACATCAGTAATAGTGCTTTGAGGTTTGCAGCTACTCATTGAAGCAGTCATTACATATATTATTCTCCTCATTTTATAGAGGAAGATAGTGAGGCTTAGAAAGGGGATGACTTGCCCAAGGCCACACAATTAGCAAATTTCAGATTTGGGATTCAAAATTGGATTTCTCACTATTCTTTACCACTTTTTTCCAATACACCATACTATTTCCCAATACAATGTAGATTCTCTTCTTTGTGATATGTACATTGAGATTTTTATGAATATCAGATTTTCTTTGGTCACATTCATATGTAACAAGCTTAATGTTCTTTAAAGTCAAGGTTGATTCTGGAGTACTTTGAAGACAGGTTTCTTTCAGTGGAGTTACTGTGTGAAGCCTAGTTCACTTTTGAAAATGATGAACTCTTTATTTTTTTTAAGCAGCAATTCAAACTGTAAGATAGACTTGAACGAATTACTTACTTTCAAGATGTGGTGTTCAGTACAATATCATGGCCCTAGGGGGCTCTACCTTATAAAGTTGTATTCTCTGAGGGTCTCATCAGCCTTTAATGATGCTTAGCACTGTTTTCTAAAAAGAAAAGAAAAGGCACTTTCCTTCATTTGCACAAATTCAAGTATAACTCTGTGGTATGGTTAATGATAGGATTCCAGTGCAAGGTTCTTCACAAACAAAATACCAGAGAGGAACAAATGACAGGTAGCAATTCTCTAGACCCTTTCATTTGTGGGTAATTTATTTTCTGTACTTACTTAATTCTATTTTTAAAGTTGTCCTAGGGCATAGGTATAAAGGATAAACAGTTATTATGATAAGTAAAACAGCAAAGTGAACGTATAATTAAGGCTATCATATTTATTCATATAATTTCCCCCCTTTATGGTGGGCAGTGACTTAACTGTTAAAGTGGAGGGAAGGAACAAGGAAGATGTGGGGCGATGTTTGCCCTGCTGATCTGTGTCTATGAGCAGCAGCAGAGTCCCAGCTCTCTTTTGGGCAAGTCACTTAACCTCTCTTTGATTCAATTTCCTCATCTGTAAAATGGAGTCTAACGATGTGATCTCTAAAATTCCTTCTATTTCTAAATTTTAGGATCTTATGAGTTCCTGAAGGCTAAATATGAGAAAATGATAAAAGCATGAACACTGGTTAAGCATGCTTCCATTTGCTTACAACAAACTGACTTCAATTAAACTCTGTTCACGTTAAAATGCTATGAAAAATGCTTTAGAGTAGCAATTCATTGCCTTTTTTGTGTCTTGAAGTAAGTTAAAGGGACCTATTTTCTCCCAAATTAATATCTTATGTTTTATATAATGTTTGAGTAACACCTATAGTGTTATTTTGTTTGATAATTATTTTACTTGATTCTTACAAAAGCCCTATGAGACAGGTGGTGAAGTGTTACCTTTGACATTTATTGAAGCCTATGGATTCTTTCTCAGAATAATTGTTTAAAAACTCACAACTAAAGGTATGCTAAATTTCAGCCAGAGGTTAGTGAAAATAAAAATGTCACTTTTTATCATCCAAGTTCATGGATTTACTGAAATCTGTGGATCCCAGGTTAAGAAGCCCTCCTTTAGAGAGTCTCAAGATCATCTTTACTAATTGAATACATAAATGCAGAGATAGATTGAGATGTAGGCATGAGACTGAGATATAGCCTGGTGATAACCTATAAAAAAATGTGCTTTGATGATCAACAGAATAAAGAAAAACCAACATTTTCATGCATCCTGCCTTTGATGTTTACTAATTCTGTGACCATGGACAAGTCATTTAATCACTCAGTTTCAGCCTTAGTAACTATTTACTAAATTAGAAATGGGTCATTATCTTTTGTGGAGGGAGTTCTCATAGAAAGCACAGATACTTAATATATTAATAAAATTTATTATAATGACAAATCACTTACATCTGAGGTCTTGGGGTTTTATGGACTAGGGGAAAATGAAGAAGAAGACTCTATTCCTTAATTTTTACAATAAGCATGAAAAATACTTTCTGATAATGGTATTTTCGTAAGAATTTTTTTTATTCATGGTCATTGAAGTTTAATAAAAATCCGTATTGAATCATTTTGCCCCCTAATTTGGTGAAACAAAAGAATTCCATTTTTAAGGATTCTAACTGTTGATGTGTTAGAAAAACATTCTACTTGACATTTAAAAAATATTCTTTTAAACTAAGGAGTAAAAGAGTGGTAGCGATTTAAGTTTATATTCATAGTTTCTTAGCAGCTGTGCCCAAGAATCTTGTCATTAGGGTAGAATTTTCTTGAAACAACAAGCATAAACATGAAGCAGTGATCCCCTGAATGTTATCCAAAAGACAAAATGTTTCATGTGGGCTTTCAGGAATAAGAGTGGTTTTCTCTTTGGATTTTTATGCCCGTAGTAGGAGATGGTAGCATATTTCCAAATTCATTTTGTGGAAAGCTAATATAAACAACCATCTTACTTCAAAGTAAATATGGCCTCCAGCACACTCTCCATACTTTCTTTGTACTTAGATAATGAAGGTAAGAACAAAGGCGGAAAAACTTTCCTCTTGTGTTGAAATACAAGTATATTTAATATTATGTTAAAAGTAGATCAACTTTTCATTTTTCTTTTCATGATATTGTCATCAATTAAAGCTGATGAAATTTACTATCTAACTTTATATCTCTATTTTCATTGTATTTTATGACTATCATAATTTAAACCAGTTTTAGCCATGGATGCAATAGAAAGGGCTCTAAAAGATAGCTTGGCAAACTGGCATACCATACTCTATAAAACAGAGATGATAATGGGTATAAATTTTCTATCTTATACAACTGTTATGAGGAAAGTGACTTATTAATCTTCAAGAACCAGCTATACAGCTAGGGAATACAGCTGATATAGTGCTGGGCCTGAAGTTAGGAACACCTAAGTTCAAATTCAGCCTCAGCTAATAAGAACTAGCTGTATAACCTCGGGCAAGTCACTTAACCTCTGTTTTCCTCAGTTTCTTCACCCATAAAAAGGGATAATAATGCCGTCTACCTCTCAGGGTTGTTGTGTGGATCAACTAAGACAATATTTTTAATGCCCTTAGCACAAGTCCTGGCATGTAGTAGATACTATATAAATACTAATTATTATTATTATTATTAAAATGCAAACTGCTGTTGTTATTTACAAAGGCCTGGATGCCTAACATTTTGTTAATTAAACATGACCCTGTGTATTTAATCTGATTCACTGGTTAATTCATGGTTAATAAGCCTTCTGAAAAGTTAGAACCTTAGTGTATTGGAAACATCAGAATTATGGTATTTCTTATTTTTATTTTTAAGACCAAATTTTGTTCAAAAACCTTAGCTGACCCATATGTCATGCCACTATAACATATAACACACAAGTCAATGTCCTATTTTTCTTTTGTCTTCTCTATCAAGGAAAATCACATTCACATTAGAAACGATATGATAAACATGATGAAGAAGAAACTGGAGTCCAAGATAGGTCAGAATATAATATGAGAGAACCTGTTTCAGATCTCTGAGCCCATAGGCTAGGCACTTTTCTGGGACTCTGCAAATGTGATTTTAGAAACTCTACTGGTCACTTATACTGAGAAATTAAGGATAATGGAAGATGTTCCATAAGATGGTCAAATGTCCTGATTTTCAAAATTCAAAAAAAATAGTGGAATATATAAGCTACTACCAAGTGAACTTAATGTATTAATACCAATAAAAATCTAGAATATATTATTTAAGTGGATAGTTTGTGAGCATTTAGACAGAAAAGCAGTGATGACTAGAATCCAAAATGGTCTTACCAAAACCAACTAATGAAAAATTAACCTTATTCCCTTTTTGATAGGGTTACTTGGTTAAGGTAGGATATAGTGCATTTTGACTTTAGCAAGGCATTTGACAAAATAGCTCATGATGTTCTTGATATCAGAATGGAGAAATAGTAGGTAGAGTTTTGTTAGACAGTCTCATAATTTTTCAACCATGACTCAGCTGTCTTCTTACCCTGGAATTTTCCGCATTGACTAGAGTCTCTAACCCTGGAATGTTCCTCTGTAATGCCAGCCTCCTCCCATTGGTCACCTCCTCCTTGGGGCCCATATTTTGGGGGTGGGCATAGGTCAGTCATATTTCATTCTCCTCTCCACCATGTATCTGACTTTCTAGACTTCATGACCATGACCCATGCAGTTATCTTCTCTCCTCTTGACTCCCCTTTCACTTTTCAGCTCACTTTTATGTGTTGTCTTTGCTGCTAGAATGTAAGCTTCTTGAGGTCAGTGA